CTCTGGTGCTTATCAATAGTAGCAGTTAAGTGAATACTGTTCAAACAATACCTGTGTTTGTGTTTTATATTGATTTCTCTGTTTTATCCTTTCATAAATGTAGGACTACAAATGGCTATAAACATTCTGGGCTGGTGGAGTAAACCGGGTTTTTATGGCTCTGTGGGGGAGGTGTAGGTATGCAGGCCTTGAGACCTTTGGTTGTAAAGTGAGCCTGTGTGGTTTCCTGCTGGCCAGCGTTGCGTCTCCCAATGAGATGACCTGAAAAGATGACCAGCTTGACCTAACACCAAACCCCTCCTTCTTACTCTGTATATATCCGGTGGATCCCTGGCGTTTTGCCTCTTCTTCACATGCTGCCCTCGGGTGTGAAAGTAGCTCTGTAGTATGCGGACTAGAGCAGGAGTAGCCGCATTACTCCTTAAGCATTGCAATATAACTGTAATATATCATGTTGTATTGTAATGATTGTATTGCATTGTCATATTGCCATTAAAGTAGATTATTGTTAACGGTTACTTTGTAGATATGGATTCCTTCCTGTATTATAACCAGCTTCATAGGAACGCGCGGAGATTTGAAAGCGGATCAGATATCCCTTCAAATCTCCAACAACGTATACACACACACTCTCGAGCTTCCCGCAGACCAGTAATCCAAACGAAAATATCTTCCCTCCGTCATATTTTGATCATTTGCTAATAACCAATCAGATCGATGGATTCCAGAGAGAGAAAACTTTGATGGCCTTTTTCTCAAAATGAGGACTCGGTGACAGTCATTATATAATGTAACATATTTCGCTTAATATTTGGAGAACAAAAACAATCCTGATATCATTAGAAAGCTAGGAATCTCCTCTTTCCAACAGTGTATACAACTCAACCTGTGTCTTCGGGTCAATGCGACTGATTTCGATAGAGCAGGTCACATATGTGTAATTCGTGGCACAATTCAAACGGGATGGAAAGATAATCTTTCTCCCTCCATTGACTTCAATACATCATTTTTCAGAAATAAGGTCCCATGGAGGTCCACCGGAAAGGGAGGGACTTCGCCTCTCTATCAGCCCCTGCAAAAACAGGGCTGGAAAAGAGCAAATAGAGCGAAACGAGGCATGGCTAAAATGCATGATCTGTTTGGTATTTTTTTTTTAAACTCCACAGCCATGTTTTATAGAGGTATGGCCCTACAATATATGTTTCAAATATAGCATGATGGGTCCACTTGAAGTCAAGGTCATTGGTGCAATAATATATGAAATCAGGATTTACAGTGGGCAGGAGTTGGGCCTTAGACGCAGCAAAAGAGAAAGCAAGTATAGTATAATGCAAGCTTTTAATTAAATACATCTGAAACAAAAGCTCCCAAAACCACAGAGGGGCGAAGGCAGGGCGAAGGCAGGGCGAAGGCAGGGAGAAGGCAGGGAGAAGGCAGGGCGAAGGCAGGGCGAAGGCAAGGCGAAGGCAGGGAGAAGGCAGGGTGAAGGCAGGGCGAATGCAGGGAGAAGGCAGGGCGAAGGCAGGGCGAAGGCAGGGAGAAGGCAGGGCGAAGGCAAGGCGAAGGCAGGGAGAAGGCAGGGTGAAGGCAGGGCGAAGGCAGGGAGAAGGCAGGGCGAAGGCAAGCAGAAAGGCAGGGCGAAGGCAGGGCGAAGGCAGGGCGAAGGCAGGGCGAAGGCAGGGCGAAGGCAGGGAGAAGGCAGGGCGAAGGCAGGGAGAAGGCAGGGCGAAGGCAGGGAGAAGGCAGGGCGAAGGCAAGGCGAAGGCAGGGCGAAGGCAGGGCGAAGGCAGGGAGAAGGCAGGGCGAAGGCAGGGAGAAGGCAGGGAGAAGGCAGGGCGAAGGCAGGGCGAAGGCAGGGAGAAGGCAGGGGCGAAGGCAGGGCGAAGGCAGGGCGAAGGCAGGGCGAAGGCAGGGCGAAGGCAGGGCGAAGGCAGGGAGAAGGCAGGGCGAAGGCAGGGCGAAGGCAGGGCGAAGGCAGGGCGAAGGCAAGGCGAAGGCAAGGCGAAGGCAAGGCGAAGGGCAGGGAGAAGGCAGGGCGGAAGGCAGCGGAGAAAGGCAGGGAGAAGGCAGGGCGAAGGCAGGGAGAAGGCAGGGCGAAGGCAGGGCGAAGGCAGGGCGAAGGCAGGGCGAAGGCAGGGCGAAGGCAGGGCGAAGGCAGGGCGAAGGCAGGGAGAAGGCAGGGCGAAGGCAGGGCGAAGGCAGGGAGAAGGCAGGGCGAAGGCAAGGGCGAAGGCAGGGAGAAGGCAGGGCGAAGGCAAGGCGAAGGCAGGGCGAAGGCAGGGCGAAGGCAAGGCGAAGGCAGGGAGAAGGCAGGGCGAAGGCAAGGCGAAGGCAGGGCGAAGGCAAGGCGAAGGCAGGGCGAAGGCAGGGCGAAGGCAGGGCGAAGGCAGGGCGAAGGCAGGGCGAAGGCAGGGCGAAGGCAAGGCGAAGGCAGGGAGAAGGCAGGGAGAAGGCAGGGCGAAGGCAAGGCGAAGGCAGGGCGAAGGCAAGGCGAAGGCAGGGAGAAGGCAGGGCGAAGGCAGGGCGAAGGCAGGGCGAAGGCAAGGCGAAGGCAGCGCGAAGGCAGGGAGAAGGCAGGGCGAAGGCAGGGCGAAGGCAGGGCGAAGGCAGGGCGAAGGCAGGGCAATCAACGAGGAGAAAACAGGTAGCCAGAAACAGAGAGTGTGTGTGTGTCTCTTGTTAGGTGTGTGTGTGTGTGTGTGTGTGTGTGTGTGTGGTGTGGTGTGTGTGTGTGTGGTGTGTGTGTGTGTGTGTGTGGGTGTGCGCGTGTGTGTCTGTGTGCGTGGTGTGTGTGTATCTTGTTAGGTGTGTGTGTTGTTGTGGTGTGTGTGTGTGTTGTTGTGTGTGTGTGTGTGTGTGTGGTGTGTGTGTGTGTGTGTGTGTGTTTGTGTGTGTGTGTGTGTGTGTGTTGTGTGTGTGTGTGTGTGTGTGCGTGTGTGTGTGTCTTGTTAGGTGTGTGTGTGTTGTGTGTGCAGTGTGTAGACGGCGCGAGGCTGGGGGATGTAGATGAGTCCGCGGTGTTTCCTCCTCAGAACGCCATCGCTCCACAGACAGGAAACCCAGAGCAGGAGCAGGAGCAGAGCTGCAGAGAAACTACACACACACACACACACACACACACACACACACACACACACACACACACACACACACACACACACACACACACACACTTCCGCCTTAATACTGTGATTGTACCTTAAAGTTAACAAGCATTTAGAAACAGAGAAAAGGAGCTCCTCAGTGGTTTCAGTTGAATCGGCGCTACATGAACTGGTCTCCTTTGTTTACTTCTGAGACATAGTGACATCACTATGAAACCCTCTCTGTGAGTCTCCTGACACACCGGGGACACATGTTTATTAAAGACATCAAGAAGTGCATTTTGCGTGACAGGAGACCTTTAAGCGCACCTGTAGAGCATGAAGAGGCCGTTGGCGTCTGGCACTAAGCCCCGCCTCCTCTGGTGCATCACGGTGGCCGTCATGGCAAAGAAGGTGAAGATGAAGAGGATGAAGGTCTGACCCTCAGCCATCAGGAACCTGAGAGGAGTCAGCGTGGCCTCATTAATGTAAGTAATGAGAAACACCTGAGAGCCAGCTGATCAATTATTACACACACACACACACACACACACACACACACACACTATGACAGAGACAGGACAGACATCTAATAAATGTCTTTAAATTAATTGAATGATGATGTGTGTGTCACTTTTTAGTGTCCCCTGATCTTCCAGCTGTGTGCGTCACTCTTTAGTGTCCCCTGGTGTCCCAGCTGTGTGCGTCACTCTTTAGTGTCACCTGGTCTCCCTAGCTGTGTGTGTGTCACTCTTTAGTGTCCCCAAGTCTCCCAGCTGTGTGCGTCACTCTTTAGTGTCCCCTTGTCTCCCAGCTGTGTGCGTCACTCTTTAGTGTCCCCTTGTCTCCCTAGCTGTGTGTGCGTCACTCTTTAGTGTCACCTGGTCTCCCTAGCTGTGTGTGCGTCACTCTTTAGTGTCCCCTTGTCTCCCAGCTGTGTGCGTCACTCTTTAGTGTCCCCTGGTCTCCCAGCTGTGTGTGTCACTCTTTAGTGTCCCCTGGTCTCCCAGCTGTGTGCGTCACTCTTTAGTGTCCCCTTGTCTCCCAGCTGTGTGCGTCACTCTTTAGTGTCCCCTTGTCTCCCAGCTGTGTGCGCCACTCTTTAGTGTCCCCTGGTCTCCCAGCTGTGTGCGTCACTCTTTAGTGTCCCCTGGTCTCCCAGCTGTGTGCGCCACTCTTTAGTGTCCCCTGGTCTCCCAGCTGTGTGCGCCACTCTTTAGTGTCCCCTGGTCTCCCAGCAGTGTGTGTCACTCTTTAGTGTCCCCTGGTCTCCCAGCAGTGTGTGTCACTCTTTAGTGTCCCCTGGTCTCCCAGCTGTGTGCGTCACTCTTTAGTGTCCCCTGGTCTCCCAGCTGTGTGCGCCACTCTTTAGTGTCCCCTGGTCTCCCAGCTGTGTGCGTCACTCTTTAGTGTCCCCTGGTCTCCCAGCTGTGTGCGCCACTCTTTAGTGTCCCCTGGTCTCCCAGCTGTGTGCGCCACTCTTTAGTGTCCCCTGGTCTCCCAGCAGTGTGTGTCACTCTTTAGTGTCCCCTGGTCTCCCAGCAGTGTGTGTCACTCTTTAGTGTCCCCTGGTCTCCCAGCTGTGTGCGTCACTCTTTAGTGTCACCTGGTCTCCCAGCTGTGTGCGTCACTCTTTAGTGTCCCCTGGTCATCAGCTGTGTGCGTCACTCTTTAGTGTCCCCTAGTCTCCAGCTGTGTGCATCACTCTTTAGTGTCCCATGGTCTCCCAGCTGTGTGCATCACTCTTTAGTGTCCCCTGGTCTCCCAGCTGTGTGCGTCACTCTTTAGTGTCCCCTGGTCTCCCAGCTGTGTGTGTCACTCTTTAGTGTCCCCTGGTCTCCAGCTGTGTGCGTCACTCTTTAGTGTCCCCTGGTCTCCCAGCTGTGTGCATCACTCTTTAGTGTCCCCTGGTCTCCCAGCTGTGTGCGTCACTCTTTAGTGTCCCCTGGTCTCCCAGCTGTGTGCATCACTCTTTAGTGTCCCCTGGTCTCCCAGCTGTGTGCGTCACTCTTTAGTGTCCCCTGGTCTCCCAGCTGTGTGCGTCACTCTTTAGTGTCCCCTGGTCTCCCAGCTGTGTGCATCACTCTTTAGTGTCCCCTGGTCTCCCAGCTGTGTGCATCACTCTTTAGTGTCCCCTGGTCTCCCAGCTGTGTGCGTCACTCTTTAGTGTCCCCTGGTCTCCCAGCTGTGTGCGTCACTCTTTAGTGTCCCCTGGTCTCCCAGCTGTGTGTGTCACTCTTTAGTGTCCCCCTGGTCTCCAGCTGTGTGCGTCACTCTTTAGTGTCCCCTGGTCTCCCAGCTGTGTGCATCACTCTTTAGTGTCCCCTGGTCTCCCAGCTGTGTGCGTCACTCTTTAGTGTCCCCTGGTCTCCCAGCTGTGTGCATCACTCTTTAGTGTCCCCTGGTCTCCCAGCTGTGTGCGTCACTCTTTAGTGTCCCCTGGTCTCCCAGCTGTGTGCATCACTCTTTAGTGTCCCCTGGTCTCCCAGCTGTGTGCGTCACTCTTTAGTGTCCCCTGGTCTCCCAGCTGTGTGCGTCACTCTTTAGTGTCCCCTGGTCTCCCAGCTGTGTGCATCACTCTTTAGTGTCCCCTGGTCTCCCAGCTGTGTGCATCACTCTTTAGTGTCCCCTGGTCTCCCAGCTGTGTGCGTCACTCTTTAGTGTCCCCTGGTCTCCCAGCTGTGTGCGTCACTCTTTAGTGTCCCCTGGGTCTCCCAGCTGTGTGTGTCACTCTTTAGTGTCCCCTGGTCTCCAGCTGTGTGCGTCACTCTTTAGTGTCCCCTGGTCTCCCAGCTGTGTGCGTCACTCTTTATTGTCCCCTGGTCTCCCAGCTGTGTGCATCACTCTTTAGTGTCCCCTGGTCTCCAGCTGTGTGCGTCACTCTTTAGTGTCCCCTGGTCTCCAGCTGTGCAGCGTTTCGTATTTGCAGCGTTTAAAAGAAGACATGTTATAAAAGCAAAATAACAAAAAATCTCAAATTAATTTTAATTACAGTCTCACCAGTAGTAAGTAGCGCTCGGTAAAAGCAGCATCCAGGCTGTCGGCGGCATCTTGTCCTCCTGTGTCCTGTGATGGAAACAACCACTGAAGAAGAGGAAGAGGGCGAGGAAGAAGGGAACACACCTGCAGGACACAGATAAAGGACAGAAGGGATAATCAGGGGAAAGAAAATGCTGCACGGCTTATATTGATGGATCTGCATGTGAAACATCATTAATCACAGACCGTGGGTAAAGTCCTCATTAAAGAGAGGGAAGAGTGAGGCAAGCAGTGCATGACATTTGTAATTGTAAATGACTGCTGTATATCAGTATGTAGTGTCTCTACTTTAAAGAGTCCTCTCCTGCTGATGTTCAGGTGTATATCAGTATGTAGTGTCTCTACTTTAAAGAGTCCTCTCCTGCTGATGTTCAGGTGTATATCAGTATGTAGTGTCTCTACTTTAAAGAGTCCTCTCCTGCTGATGTTCAGGTGTATATCAGTATGTAGTGTCTCTACTTTAAAGAGTCCTCTCCTGCTGATGTTCAGGTGTATATCAGTATGTAGTGTCTCTACTTTAAAGAGTCCTCTCCTGCTGATGTTCAGGTGTATATCAGTATGTAGTGTCTCTACTTTAAAGAGTCCTCTCCTGCTGATGTTCAGGTGTATATCAGTATGTAGTGTCTCTACTTTAAAGAGTCCTCTCCTGCTGATGTTCAGGTGTATATCAGTATGTAGTGTCTCTACTTTAAAGAGTCCTCTCCTGCTGATGTTCAGGTGTATATCAGTATGTAGTGTCTCTACTTTAAAGAGTCCTCTCCTGCTGATGTTCAGGTGTATATCAGTATGTAGTGTCTCTACTTTAAAGAGTCATCTCCTGCTGATGTTCAGGTGTATATCAGTATGTAGTGTCTCTACTTTAAAGAGTCCTCTCCTGCTGATGTTCAGGTGTATATCAGTATGTAGTGTCTCTACTTTAAAGAGTCCTCTCCTGCTGATGTTCAGGTGTATATCAGTATGTAGTGTCTCTACTTTAAAGAGTCCTCTCCTGCTGATGTTCAGGTGTATATCAGTATGTAGTGTCTCTACTTTAAAGAGTCCTCTCCTGCTGATGTTCAGGTGTATATCAGTATGTAGTGTCTCTACTTTAAAGAGTCCTCTCCTGCTGATGTTCAGGTGTATATCAGTATGTAGTGTCTCTACTTTAAAGAGTCCTCTCCTGCTGATGTTCAGGTGTATATCAGTATGTAGTGTCTCTACTTTAAAGAGTCCTCTCCTGCTGATGTTCAGGTGTATATCAGTATGTAGTGTCTCTACTTTAAAGAGTCCTCTCCTGCTGATGTTCAGGTGTATATCAGTATGTAGTGTCTCTACTTTAAAGAGTCCTCTCCTGCTGATGTTCAGGTGTATATCAGTATGTAGTGTCTCTACTTTAAAGAGTCCTCTCCTGCTGATGTTCAGGTGTATATCAGTATGTAGTGTCTCTACTTTAAAGAGTCCTCTCCTGCTGATGTTCAGGTGTATATCAGTATGTAGTGTCTCTACTTTAAAGAGTCCTCTCCTGCTGATGTTCAGGTGTATATCAGTATGTAGTGTCTCTACTTTAAAGAGTCCTCTCCTGCTGATGTTCAGGTGTATATCAGCATGTAGTGTCTCTACTTTAAAGAGTCCTCTCCTGCTGATGATCAGGTGTATATCAGTATGTAGTGTCTCTACTTTAAAGAGTCCTCTCCTGCTGATGTTCAGGTGTATATCAGTATGTAGTGTCTCTACTTTAAAGAGTCCTCTCCTGCTGATGTTCAGGTGTATATCAGCATGTAGTGTCTCTACTTTAAAGAGTCCTCTCCTGCTGATGATCAGGTGTATATCAGTATGTAGTGTCTCTACTTTAAAGAGTCCTCTCCTGCTGATGTTCAGGTGTATATATCAGTGTGTAGTGTCTCTACTTTAAAGAGTCCTCTCCTGCTGATGTTCAGGTGTATATCAGTATGTAGTGTCTCTACTTTAAAGAGTCCTCTCCTGCTGATGTTCAGGTGTATATCAGTATGTAGTGTCTCTACTTTAAAGAGTCCTCTCCTGCTGATGTTCAGGTGTATATCAGTATGTATGGTCTCTACTTTAAAGAGTCCCTCTCCTGCTGATGTTCAGGTGTATATCAGTATGTAGTGTCTCTACTTTAAAGAGTCCTCTCCTGCTGATGTTCAGGTGTATATCAGTATGTAGTGTCTCTACTTTAAAGAGTCCTCTCCTGCTGATGTTCAGGTGTATATCAGTATGTAGTGTCTCTACTTTAAAGAGTCCTCTCCTGCTGATGTTCAGGTGTATATCAGTATGTAGTGTCTCTACTTTAAAGAGTCCTCTCCTGCTGATGTTCAGGTGTATATCAGTATGTAGTGTCTCTACTTTAAAGAGTCCTCTCCTGCTGATGTTCAGGTGTATATCAGTATGTAGTGTCTCTACTTTAAAGAGTCCTCTCCTGCTGATGTTCAGGTGTATATCAGTATGTATGGTCTCTACTTTAAAGAGTCCTCTCCTGCTGATGTTCAGGTGTATATCAGTATGTAGTGTCTCTACTTTAAAGAGTCCTCTCCTGCTGATGTTCAGCTGTATATCAGTATGTAGTGTCTCTACTTTAAAGAGTCCTCTCCTGCTGATGTTCAGGTGTATATCAGTATGTAGTGTCTCTACTTTAAAGAGTCCTCTCCTGCTGATGTTCAGGTGTATATCAGTATGTAGTGTCTCTACTTTAAAGAGTCCTCTCCTGCTGATGTTCAGGTGTATATCAGTATGTGGTGTGTCTACTTTAAAGAGTCCTCTCCTGCTGATGTTCAGGTGTATATCAGTATGTAGTGTCTCTACTTTAAAGAGTCCTCTCCTGCTGATGTTCAGGTGTATATCAGTATGTAGTGTCTCTACTTTAAAGAGTCCTCTCCTGCTGATGTTCAGGTGTATATCAGTATGTAGTGTCTCTACTTTAAAGAGTTCTCTCCTGCTGATGTTCAGGTGTATATCAGTATGTAGTGTCTCTACTTTAAAGAGTCCTCTCCTGCTGATGTGCAGGTGTATATCAGTATGTAGTGTCTCTACTTTAAAGAGTCCTCTCCTGCTGATGTTCAGGTGTATATCAGGATGTAGTGTCTCTACTTTAAAGAGTCCTCTCCTGCTGATGTTCAGGTGTATATCAGTATGTGGTGTCTACTTTAAAGAGTCCTCTCCTGCTGATGTTCAGGTGTATATCAGTATGTGGTGTCTCTACTTTAAAGAGTCCTCTCCTGCTGATGTTCAGGTGTATATCAGTATAGTGTCTCTACTTTAAAGAGTCCTCTCCTGCTGATGTTCAGGTGTATATCAGTATGTAGTGTCTCTACTTTAAAGAGTCCTCTCCTGCTGATGTTCAGGTGTATATCAGTATCTAGTGTCTCTACTTTAAAGAGTCCTCTCCTGCTGATGTTCAGGTGTGTATCAGTATGTAGTGTCTCTACTTTAAAGAGTCCTCTCCTGCTGATGTTCAGGTGTATATCAGTATGTAGTGTCTCTACTTTAAAGAGTCCTCTCCTGCTCACCACATCAGATGACCAATGGTGTCGTCAAAGAAACAGAGGAGCTCAAAAGCATCGATCTGTGAAAATAAAAAAAAACAATGTACGTTTAGAAAATGATTACAAATAAATAAACATCATACATTTTAATGTATTCTAACCCACCAGGGCGGGGGGGCGGAGCTCCTCCATGATTGGGTTATCTCTGACGGACAGGTGCAGCTGGTAGCCAATCAGCACGAGCCGTCGCGTGATGGCGTCCGTCACCAGGTGTAGGCTGGTTCCCATGGCAACAGCAATAACGCCCAGGTGTACGGCGAGGGGGGGCAACGACCGGGGGGTGCGCTCAATCATCTGCAGGGAAAAATAACGTATTAGTGTGTACTAGTGTGTACTAGTGTGTACTACTCTGTCTTGAATAGTGTGTATTGTTGTTTGTTTTTTACTCTGTGTTTTTACTCCACGTGTATTATTTTGTGTGTAATACTTGTTGTGTATTAGTGTGTAATACTATGTGTGTAATACCCTGTTTGTAATACTTTGTGTGTATTATTCTGTGTGTATTACTCTGTGTAAATTTACTGTGTTTGTAATACTCTGTGGATGAAGTATTTATAAAAGTACTAACACCACCTTTTAAAACCCTTTGTCAATAGTACAATTCAAAATTCAAATCGTTGGCTCTTTAGTTGCTGCTTAATTGATCATTGTGAATGGTTTAGTAATGCAGCCTGTAAGAGGCATAATAATGATGTACTCCTCCATGTTGTGTTTTACTGTGTGTGGGTTACTTTCAGCAGAATGAGCGGTGTGCAGATGTTGAACAGGAAGTGGAGATATTCTGCAGCAGAGGGCCGGTTCAGAGGAAACAGATCTGCAGGGAGGACGAGCTGCAAGAGAAATCAAAGTTTATAATCTCCCTAAAAACCTCTCAACTCAGATTTCTATCAGTTTAAAGGCAGGCTGTGTCAGGGCTGCTGAAGATAAAATTGTGAAGGATATTTCAGAAAAGGAAGTTTAGTGGAAATTAAAAAGTTCCAGGATAGAGGGATGAAGCAGATTCTAATTTAGAGATGTCAAAAAAATAATATTTTATGACATTTTCAAACTGCAATGACAATCTTAACTGATTAAGCTCAAATAAAAAAAGTAGATCTACTTGAACTGAATAACTGAACAGGCAGATTTAGGCCTTTTGCATGGATTTTCTCTTTTCATTTCACTTTGCAGTACGGGACGATTTTGGCCTCAGGTTCCACAAAAACGTATCTAAAGACGTCAGATTGTGAGCGTGAATCCAAGAGGAAGGTTAAAAAATGAGCCAAAAGAATCGCCAATTTAGTGAGGCGGAAATGATGGACAAAGCTCTTTCCAAAACAACCACGAATCTAATGTTGAATTTACTATAAAGGAACTACAGCAAGGTCACATGACTTCAGGTCACCACCGCTAATCAAATCAAAGTTTATTTATAAAGCACATTTAAAAGCGATTTTTGGTCGAGCCAAAGTGCTGTACATGTAATTACTACTACAATCACATATAACACATTACTACAATCACAATAAAAGACAATACATGCTAAGCTAAAGGAGGCTAATGTTGGGCTATAAGGGAACTACAGCACGGTCACATGACTTCACGTCACCACCGCTAAGCTAAAGGAGGCTAATGTTGGGCTATAAGGGAACTACAGCACGGTCACATGACTTCACGTCACCACCGCTAAGCTAAAGGAGGCTAATGTTGGGCTATAAGGGAACTACAGCACGGTCACATGACTTCACGTCACCACCGCTAAGCTAAAGGTGGCTAATGTTGGGCTATAAAGGAACTACAGCACGGTCACATGACTTCACGTTCACGGTTTTAGGATTACACCACTCCTAACCTTCTAAAAGGATGTGCAGTTATTCAGTCAAACAAGAAATACCGATACCGTGACAAATGGCCGGCCGATGTCCAGGATCCAGCTGTGGAGGATGAAGCCGAGCCACAGGTCCAGCTGGAAGCGAGGCCGCGGCAGAACCTCTTCAGAACCGGACGCCCGGCTGCAGAACACAGAACAGGACAGATTGTATCACCTCTGACTGTTCCTTGCATATTTAAGTTATATGGGGTTATATATGTCTCAATAATATTTGAGTGAATATTAAAATGATCAACAGGCCATCACGTGGTTTCCGAAAAAATAACCGAGTTACGAGTAGATTTGATCCGAGACCGGCGGAAATGTCGTCTCAATGTCGTGTGTGTAAAAGAAAGATCCACAAGCAGATATTTGAGATCCACAAACATATGTTTGGTCGACAAATACAAAATGGATTCACAAATGCCTGATCGAAAGTTGTCAATGTTAGAGAGAGACTCACAAATTCCTTTTGTTTATTTGTAAAATAATTATATTCACAGATCTTATTTTATTTGTGAAAACATTTTGCGTATTTGCAGATCCGTTTTACATTTCCAATTTTGTTTGTGAGTTTCAAATCGTTTGAATGCATTTGTGGTGTTTTACATTTACAAATCATTATGTTCACACAAATAGAGACATATATAACCCCATGAAGACAACTTTATTATCAATCTTTCAGACAGAGGGATCGAAATACCGTTTCCCACAATCCCCAATACATATATAAAAAATGTATATCCTAATATATATATATATATATATATATATTGTTAGAAATTAAAATCAATGTTTTGATGGCATAATGTACCTTAAATGTACCTTCAGTTTAAATGCTGTTTTATACTGAAAAACCAGAAAATTATTGTGCACAACCAGTTAAGCTTTTATTCTGAAAATCCTTCATCTCCGGTTAGCATGTGGCTAGTTTACCATTTTCTTATAGAGGTTAATTTAGTAGCGAAATGACATGGAGTGATGCACACCCGAAACCTACTGATTTTAACACTGCAACTATAGATGTATTATTATTGCTGAATATTAAATGAAGGTATAGTTTATTTGAATAAAGTTATTGTTTACAGACGTGGGTAAGATGTGACAACATCCGGAATGACCAGAAACCAAACCAGCCGTGAAGTATTTTCTGTATTTTTTAGAATATTAACTACAACGTTAATGTACAATGCCTGAATCCTCTGTTTAAACGTAACAACGGACATTAAGATGTGGAGGGCCGGCCCGAAGGGAGGAGCCTACAGAAGCTATATAAGAGCAGCACCTGAGCGGTTCGGCCCCCTTTTCTCTGCTAGCGAGGGCCAGAGACAGCTGCTTTTCTGTCGGACAATATCCTGTTTGTGACTGTACCACGCCTTTTTATTAATTAAAGTACCAATTTGAAAACATCTCAGAGACTCCATTTAGTCTCCTTTTTAAGCTTCTCTTTCCTGGACGCGAGAATAACCATCACAGTTAACAATTGGTGCTCCGCGACGTGATTCTCGTTGGACAAAAGAGACTACACAACCAGCTGTTTTCCGGAGACGCGGCTTCCGTTCGACACAACGAGCTCGAATACTTGGTAAGAGGAAACCTGTTAAATCAAATTCTTCATAGTTTATGCAGTACAAAATAGGTTTGTGTTGGACGGAGGCCAGCGGATCCTGAAAATAGCTGTGTATTTAATGTTAAAACAACCAAATTTATAACAATAAGAATTCCATAACACATGGCGTTGCATTTTCACAATCAGGGTGAGTTCCAATTTCTTTTTTTCTTATATCTAACCCTGCATGCTATTAATTTGTGTGTGTAGTATTTTAAAATATAAATGTGTGTGGCCATTGTACTTTGGGTAGGTGTCTTGTTGTGTTTTCATGTAGGTGTCCCTTGTTACGTCAGTAGTTAAATTAGCCTATGACGTAAGGATATATAAGTCCATTTAACGATTATTGTTAAGATCTATGGGACATAGCGAATTGATTAAGGATCAAGTAATTGAAACAAACAAGGCATAGCGAATCAACTTAGGGTTGAGTAACTGAAGACAGTGCTAGTCGAAAACAGTTGAGAACTGTTTTAAAAAAGTCCTTTTGAGGAAAGGCTTGATTAAGGTGTAAGCTTTATCAGTGGTCATAACTGTTCTAGTTTCAACCAAGATATTGCGGGTGGAATACGAGATGTGGAGTTACAACAGCATTACGTTAAATTGACGACGGTCATTTAATAGTCGCTGATAAGTTACCATAATACTCCCACCTAGCGTGTCGAAATGGCAGCAGTTGACCAATAGTGGACTATAAAGTCAAATAATACGTAGATAGGTTTATAGCTTATGCGTAAGGGTTCCTAACTTTAAGTGATGATATCAATAAGATAAAGCCCATTTTTTTCATAGTAAACTAGATAGAAATGTTATTTTAAACTGCAGTGTTGTTTTGTGTTCAATTTTCTTGACAAGATTACACCCCGCCATTATTTAAACTCCCCTCTGAGAGCCACGAGGTGTTTTCAAATCCCTTTGTTCTTCAGGTCAAAGGTTGGAAAATCAGTTGCCATCTTGTCTTGTCCTCATGCTGAAAATAAGCCACACGGCAGCCGCCATTTCGTGAAATGCTAATTGAAAGTACTCTGTTTGTTTTGACACACAGTCCCACTCACATGAGGCTAGGCACTCCATATTGAGAAGGACAAATCATATTTATTGGCAGAAGTTGGAACTATAAAATAGACAGGTTATCTTACCGTGGGAAGTTTGGTATTTGTAGGAGTCTGGTTTTGAAAATATTGTTGTTTGCAAGTGCGTATTGGCGGTTTATTTGAGATATTCTTGTTTGCAAGTGTGTATTGGCGGTTTATTTGAGATATTCTTGTTTGCAAGTGTGTTTTGGCGGTTATGTGCTGTGTTGTTTAACCATATTCACATTTTCTTCCCATTTTTAAGGAAATAAGCTTCTTCTTGTTAAAAAGAGGTCAGTTTTGCAACAGCTATCCCTAGTGGATTAAGCTGGAAATTACAACAGCGCACTCTGCTGGTAATACAGAATTATTACAAAGATATTATAACATTTTGAAGCTTAATTTTGAGTGTTATTGATGAACACATTCGCCGGGACAGAATTACAAAGTGGTTTCTAATTAACATATGAGAAACTTTACATCATAGACTTTCAAACTAGACTGTAGAATACACCAATTGATTAAATCTAACACAAATTATGACATTTACATAGTTCCATACATTTCAGTATGCACTGTACACAGTAGATTTAGATTTTCACAAGACTTCGATTTTCTTATCTCAAAGTCAAAAACGATACACTGTACAATTTTTATTTTAACATTTCAAAAAAAATGTATCTTTTAATTTATTAATATTTTACAACAACAAAAAAAAAAAACTTAAATCATAAAAAAAAAAAAAAAACATTCTTAAAAAAAAAAAAAAAAAAAAAAAACCTACCCAGATTTAAAGTTAAGTTCGGATGACATAGGATATTATTTATCAGGAACGAAGGTGCTAGTCGGAGGATTAGTGTTTCAATCTTTGATAACTTAATAATATTCATTCGAATAGTTAGAGAACATGTCACCAAAAGAAACTAAATTGAGACTAGACGCAGAGCCAGGCTCAACCGCAGATATCAAGGAAAGGGTAATAATCTGATCAGATGCTTTAACCTTTCCAATTAAAAGAACTATCTGGAGTGAAGATGAAGAAAGATTTATAAGAGTTACAAGTCTGATACTCCATCTGGAATATGCCAGCCTATTGGCACACAGCATACATGTGGTCCGAGTAGCAGACCCGCCAGTGAGGGAAGACATAGCAGAAAAAACAAGACACCGTAGCTTGTAGGAACAAGACAAGGAGAAGGGAGGGGAAACTTCCAGAGAAGGCAGGGCAGACACCTCCAACAATTCAAGCTCAGGAAGAACCAGAGAATGCAGAGCAGACACCTCAAACAGTTAAATCTCAGATAGTGCCAGAGAATCAGATGCAGAACCAACAACCAGGAGGTTTCCAAGGAGGCACAGGCAGAAGACGTTTACGGTTTGAGGGATGTTACCATTGCAACTAAATGGGCCATTGGACCAGAGATTGCCCGCAACTACTAAGGCAACATGCACCAAACAATGGCCCTCCATGTAGTTACCCTGGGGGAGGTTTCCATGATTACGACAGAAGCAGGGGGTCTCAGGGATGTCAAAGACGAACAGCATTGCCAAACATGACCCAAATGCCACTGACACCCTGGTATCAACCACAACAATGAGGAAGCTCAGAGGGCCAGACCACCAGGTGATGCATCTTCAGCACAAGGGTATTTTGAAATCCAGCTACATTGAGCCATATATGTCACCACAGAAGGGAGAGGTTTAATGTTTAATGTAAAAACAGAATCGAGAGTAGCATTTGCATTTACACATAAAGCATCCACAGAATAGAACATTTAGCAGACTATTTTTGTAATTATGAGAAGGAAAGAGATTACGAGTGATGTTGTTCCCCCACACAGAAAACTATTGTGTCCACACAGCTAGTGAGGTCAAGACGATGGGGTTTCCACCCAAAAATATGAAGACGGAAACCTAGTACTCGCCCAAGACGGAGGATCCATACCAAATCCTCCTGTTTACACCGACTGCAGTTCAAGGGGCGGCGATACACCTGACTGAGCTGTTGAGACCTAAAAACAGAAACTCGCTTCTGCTGTGGTGAAGTCTGGCTACAAAGGGAGGTGTCCGATAGGGTCGCTTGTCTCAAACCAGTGAAGAAGTCAACAAGAACCCAGCAGAACTAGAGAGTGACTGTTAGCGGGAGAACAGTGACAGAGCGACAGAGACTGGCACAACATTTTCCAGCCAGTACATAGATAGACCCCGTCAGAAGACCGGGGCTGTGTTTAAAGGGGAACTTCATTTATTGTTAGTGGAAGTGTAGTTTTTTAGTCAAACAATTATGTGATTTATGGAGTCAGATTACATTTTTCTCAAACACAATTTTATAATCGGTCTGAAGTATCTGTTTTAAGGCAATGAGCTGCAGATTAAATAACATAACACTGATTGAGAGCTTGGATGAAGAAGTTGTAGGGTTTTAACAACAGTTTAAAGAATCAGTTTTTATTTATTTAT